TTGAAAGAAGGTGAACGTTTAGTTTAAAATATGCACTGAGTCTGTAATAGAGATCAGTAAAACCAACAAACTCCTTTCCCCATCCATAAGAAATCGCTGCTATAAGCAGAGTCGATTGTACAATTCCGACTATATTATGAGGGGGCGGTGGAGTAGCCCAGTGGTTAAAGCGTTCGCTCGTCACGCGGATGACCCGGGTTCGATTCCACACATGGGTACTAGGGCTGTAACGATGCATCAAACTATCGATGGATTGCAATTGTTGAGTCTCCGATAGCAATTAACCGATGGTAGAAACGAAAAATTATCGATGCATCGATAGTATGTGTGGCTATGGATAGTTTAGTAACTGACTTCCGTTGATAAATGCGCAAAATACAGGATGTACCAGATTCGTTCACTTTGATTTAGAGTTATTCGCCCCTGTTACCTCTTAAACAAACTTGATTTGGGTTTCAAGTTTCTTGTCAGTTATTAAATGAGATTGAAACTACTTCAGCTTGTTTTTATTTCATATAAACTATACATTCACAGGAAAATGACTTCAAATGAGACAATTCAAGGAGAACAAAAGCCTATTGAAATTGCATGCGTGAAGTCCCCCGCCGAAGTGTTCCCCGCCACGATATTGCTGGATAAAGCTAAAAACGGCGTAAAACTAAACTCACTCACTATATTATGAGTTTATGAATCACTATCAGAACAGTGATAATACCAGGTGTTCGCCAAGGTGAACGCATCCTACCCACCATTTACAACCACCATAAACATAAGCAAAAACTAGTCACCTACAAATTATCAGTTATCAGGAAAGTATGGTACAAGTCAAAATAGGGAATTGCATAGAACATCATTTGTTATCATTTATGCTTAAACATTTGGAAATTTCTACCATAAAACATTTTGAAAGCTTTCCTGACACCTTGGATGTTGTAACCTTGATGGAACATCGTCATATGAATCGTACGACGCTAATAAAAGTCTTGGTGAAAGGAGTATGCTTGAATGTATCTGATAAGTTGTGAAATGTAAACACCAAAGGCCGGAGCTGTTAGAATATTCCTCGACATGAAAGGAAAGTTGCCTACTGGAAAGTAGAAATCATCCCTTTTGTCATGCAGCCTTGGGAGAGTTTGTTTTTGTCTCACTGAACTACATGTACTGTTATTGCTGCTCATGTCTATTTGTACACCGTTATGTCAACACAGGTCTTGTTTACAGAGCCAGAAACAGCTTCTATGTCACGTACGACAACGTATATTTATTCATGTTTAATTGTGGCCGTTTTGCCAGCCTCCCTCGCCAGACGTAGCCTCTGTAGGGTGACAGAGCTAGCTTTATCCCGAAAACTTGAACGCTGTCATCACTGTAGTTCTCATTTGTTTGGAGAGACAAATATGGTTTTGGCGCAATTTTAACAATGTCACATCAGAGGCTCAATCACAAGGAAGGCTTCTGGTAGAGCCTCCGATGGCTCTTCCAGCATCCGCACTCCTTTCTCTGTCCCGAGTGATCATTTTGGATGTGGGATAACATGGAGCTCCCGGGATACAGATGTCCCATTGATAGGGAAAATACACCCTCTTTACACATCTTTCAGTTTATTATGTTGAAAGAAGGCGTATGCTTTCTGAGATGAATGTTGTGGTGACTGAAGGTAAGTGTGCTGTGACTGAAGGTGAATGTTTGTGTTGTGACTGGAGGTGAATGTTTGTGTTGTGACTGGAGGTGAATGTTTGTGTTGTGACTGGAGGTGAATGTTTGTGTTGTGACTGGAGGTGAATGTTTGTGTTGTGACTGGAGGTGAATGTTTGTGTTGTGGTTAGAGATGAATGTTTGTGTTGTGACTAGAGGTGAATGTTTGTGTTGTGACTGGAGGTGAATGTTTGTGTTGTGACTGGAGGTGAATGTTTGTGTTGTGACTGGAGGTGAATGTTTGTGTTGTGACTGGAGGTGAATGTTTGAGTTGTGACTGAAGGTGAATGTGGAGGTGAATGTTTGTTGTGACTGGAGGTGAATGTTTGTTTGTGTTGTGACTGAAGGTGAATGTTTGTGTTGTGACTGGAGGTGAATGTTTTGTTGTGACTGGAGGTGAATGTTTGTGTTGTGACTGGAGGTGAATGTTTGTGTTGTGACTGGAGGTGAATGTTTGTGTTGTGACTGGAGGTGAATGTTTGTGTTGTGACTGAGGTGAATGTTTGTGTTGTGACTGGAGGTGAATGTTTGTGTTGTGACTGGAGGTGAATGTTTGTGTTGTGACTGAAGGTGAATGTTTATGTTGTGACTGGAGGTGAATGTTTGTGTTGTGACTGGAGGTGAATGTTTGTGTTGTGACTAGAGGTGAATGTTTGTGCTGTGACTGGAGGTGAATGTTTGTGTTGTGACTGGAGGTGAATGTTTGTGTTGTGACTAGAGGTGAATGTTTGTGTTGTGACTAGAGGTGAATGTTTGTGTTGTGACTGGAGGTGAATGTTTGTGCTGTGACTGGAGGTGAATGTTTGTGTTGTGACTGGAGGTGAATGTTTGTGTTGTGACTGGAGGTGAGTGTTTGTGCTGTTGTGACTGGAGGTGAATGTTTGTGTTGTGACTGAGGTGAGTGTTTGTGTTGTGACTAGAGGTGAATGTTTTGAGCTGTGACTGGAGGTGAATGTTTGTGTTGTGACTAGAGGTGAATGTTTGAGTTGTGACTAGAGGTGAATGTTTGTGTTGTTCCTGGAGGTGAATGTTTGTGTTGTGACTGGAGGTGAATGTTTGTGTTGTGACTGGAGGTGAATGTTTGTGTTGTGACTGGAGGTGAATGTTTGTGTTGTGACTGGAGGTGAATGTTTGTGTTGTGACTGGAGGTGAATGTTTGTGTTGTGACTGAAGGTGAATGTTTGTGTTGTGACTGGAGGTGAAACTATTGTCAAATACTTGCGAAAATAATGTTGCAAAGTCGATAATTCGATACCAGATAGTACCTGAGTATGCTTAGATTATAATAAATTAATAGTGATAATATATACATAAATGTAAGTATAAACTGCTTAGATGTTAGAAATATTGAAGACTGTCGCACTAATACCCTTCCCTGGAAGCGCTTCTTGAACACCCGTGAAGATCTGGGTTAGAATTGATCTTCAGTAGCCCATGCTTGTCCAAACGTGCAATAAACTTGGACAAAGTACTGTCCCAGTCCACCCAGCTGTGAATGGGTACCTCGTATGGATGGGAAAGCCGCAATAACTCTCTGCGCCTTGTGGCAGGAAGAGTTGTATACTCCCCAGGGAGTTGAGATTGATAATAATATGTGCCGTTGAGATTGACATCCAATGATCGAGGGAAAAAATACCAGCGCCTTGAGCATGCACTAGTGCGTGGATATGTGCGCTATATAAATATCCAGTAATGTATGTAGCGATAAATAAGCAACGATATGCTGTCAACAAAGTCTCTAAGTCTACTGCTTACCTGAGTGTTTTCTAACAAAGAAAACCCGGAGTTTCAAATTAAACTATTTGCTTGAAATATGAACCACACATCCGTTGTGTGGACATGCCTATAGTGACAGGTTTTGACTGGGAGATGATCGGTTGTCGTTTTTATATCTATAGCGGGCATGCAAAGAACAAAAGTTGTTTTGCTGATTGACAGCAGATGAAAACACTATCGAGACGTCACTCAAAGAAATTGCAAACCACGAACTAAATTACTTTACATATACCAGATCAATCAATCAATCAATCAACAGAAAACAGTTTTGGAAAAAGGAAGTGTTTTATCCAGCATTGGTTCTATTTTCATTGGCAAGTGGTTGTTATTTATTTTAAAATATGTTGATGTTTATGAATTGTATATTGCACCTGAGGCACTGTGAGCATACGACACCAGGCTAATTCGACGAGCTATCTTAGGGCTACAACTGTCGTTCGTTCGTTCGTTCGTTCGTTCGTTCGTTCGTAGGTATGGTATGGTAGGTTTTACGCTGCTTTTAGCAATATTCCAGCAATATCACGGCAGGGCACACCAGAAATGCGTTTCACACATTGTACCCATGTGGGAATTCGAACCCGGGTCTTTGGCGAGACGAACGATCGTCTTATGTCTTAGTGTATAGGGTTTAGGATCATCTTAGCGCTAAGATCGGATCGTGGTACGTGTTCCTGGCATAATGTTGGAATCTGAAGGAGAAAGTGAGTAAAAATCTCTACTACAGAATCTTTTGAAGCGTATTTTGAATCCATACTTTTAGATTTTGATATTTGTTTGAATCATACACCTACTCACGCACACATTCCTACACTCACTCACACATTCACTCCGACACTTACTCACTCACTCTGACATTCCCTCACTCACTCATCGTGAATATTTATGACAACTGCGTCAGAACAATCTAAGCTATGCGACTCAGCTGTTACATGCATCCCGGATATGTATTGACGCATGCGTGATAAGCACCGAAGTTCTATCGGCGGTGTAAGATTTCCATCCACCAACGCCAAATGTCACAAATTAGCCCAATACAAACGCTACAGGTAAAGCTAACAACCTAACGCACCCGAAATACGTCCACACAGTACAGGTGAGACTAATTCCACAATTTCGTTTAAACAACACACGATCCGTGAACCGTATTTTCTTCCAATCGGAAACCACTTAGCACGCACATCACGGCAATTCTAGCCAATCAAAACGCACGTTCTAATTTACCGCTGATCCTGTAAGTTTACTATGTAAAGCTCTATGTACGCTCTACTCTAGCAAACACAAGGTGTCCAATTAAACAAGTGATTACACGTAACAGACTTACTTTGTTCTTCACACACTCCTCTGTATTTGTTCTTCGGTCTTGTTGATCACGTTTTCACTCAATGCTTACACGGAGTCTGACGTCCTAGTCACGTGACGTCGTACCGTGAACAAAAGAGGGCGTTGCTATAGCATCACGTTTAAATCCAACACTACACACGAAAAAAAGGGTACTTTAAAGAAATCCGCCGAGAGAGCCTTACAGCTTATCCGGACGACACATTTTGACAGTCTCTTCGAGGATACGGGTGCACAATATTCTCCGTACATGATGTCGGGTGTTACAGCGACGGCAGCTGTGCTGTGCATGTTGGCGACGGTGTGTGTGGGTCAGGTTGATTACCGAAATTGGTTTTTAGCGATTCCGGGAAATTGTACCCATTTTACCTTAGCTATCGGCTCTTTCCGCCGAGATTTCCCGTGTCCCAATGATCTCGTGTTCTCGCCGTTGTCAAAGACGTGTGTCGACCGGGACGATGTAAGGAATACACAGTGTCCTACAGGTGAGTGTCTGATAATGTGCCGAATGTTTTACAAACTAATATTTTCGTGTTTTCCACCATCACATGGCTAAAGCGGCGTAAACCAATATTCATTCGTTGAAGTGCCAGTGAAGCAACCCAGGCTTGTCGTAAGAGGCGACTAACGCGAACGGGTGGTCAGGCTCGCTGACTGGGTTGACACTTGTCATTGTATCCCAGTTGCGTAGATCGATGCTGATGTTGTTGATCACTGGATTGCCTGGTCCAGACTCCATTGTTTACAGACCGCCGCCAAATAGCCGGAATATTGCTGAGTGAGGCGTTAAACAACAAACAACAACTCATTCGTTGAAATATATAGAAAGCTACATATATACAAGTGAATGCACCATCATAAAATACTTTCTAAACCCATTTACAAATTTTGATGAATGAAAACTATGGAATCCTAGAAGAGACACTGTCGCGTTGTCGCCCACACAAAAACCCCAAAAAAGTGGCAACATTTACCAAAGTGCGACAATGCGACGTTGTGACATTTTGGTCATATTTCAAAGTCAAATAGGCGACTATTTCAAGGTCAATATATGTCTCGTTGTCGCCCCATCTAAGATGTGTAAACATAACTTTACAATGCGTGACAACGCCACAATGTACCTTCTAGGATTCCATAGAAAACTGACATAAAAATTCCATCATGTTCCAAATATATATTTATGAGTAAATGTACAGTTCGAGTTTGTGTGTATTGTTTTCTGTTTCAAGTATTCACGCATACCATGAAGTTCAGTAGATATTATTTTTACTACATTCGATAGAAAGTACAACGAGTGGCAGCCGTTATAACTTTTTTGTGGTTAGTTTCCAAGCCCGTATAAAAGCAATGTACTACCAACATACCACCAATGTACCACTAACATGTGAACAATATTCCACCCAAATACCATCATATACCACCAATTAAGGGTGTCACGATTCGGTTCGGTTCATCGAAAATCGAATCGATAGATGTACGATTCTATCTCGATTTCAAATGCATCCATTTCGATTCGATTCATAAAGTACATACTTTCTAATACTGACAGTTTATTTCACCTGAAATCGTAAGAAATTATGTTGAAAATTCGCTGCTACAAGTGTGGCCAGTGAGAGGGTATTCTCCATTACCGGAGACATTGTAAGTGCCCAGAGGGCATGTCTTTCAAGTGAAAATTCCTTGCACAGAACATGACCATTCCAAATGACTTACAGTGACAATGAACACTTGACACCAAAGTTCGTGACTGAAACTTAATTTCATGATCACTTGTTCAGTGAGTATTTGTTTACAACTTGTCTTGACGGTGATCTAATTGTACATTGTGCCAATTTTCCAAAGTTTGCCAAATTAAACTGATTTTACAACAAATTTGACTTTGTCCTCAGCTTTGGTGAATCGAATCGAAATTAATTGAATCGAACGAATTGAATCGATAATCGAGAGTGAATCGTGACACCCCTACCACCAATGCCACCTGGTATGTTCTTCACACATGGAGCCATGAAGGTCCGGGTTAGAATTGGCCTTCAGTAATCCATGCTTGTCGTAAGAGGCGATTAACAGGATCAGGTGGTGAGGCTCGTTGGCTTCGTTGACACATGTCATCGGTTCCCAGTTGCGTAAATCGATGCTCATGCTGTTGATCACTGGAATGTCTGGTCCTGACTCGATTATTTACAGACCGCCGCCATATAGCTGGAATATTGCTGAGTGCGGCGTAAATATAAACTCACTCACTACCGTTATAGTATATGGAAACTATCGAACCCTGGTCTTTCATGTGGAGACAGCCTGGTGGTGGAGGTATTCATTTGTCTCACTCAAAGCCGGGAATCGGTTCATAATGTACGAATGCGTGAAACCAGTTATCTCACGTCCCTAAAACTGGCGCGGGCGGTGGGGTAGCCTAGTGGTTAAAGCGTTCGCTTGTCACGCTGAAGAACCGGGTTGGATTCCCCACGTGCGTATAATGCGTGAAGCCCATTTCTGGTGTCCCTCGCTTTGATATTGCTGGAATATTGCTGGAATATTGCTGGAATATTGCTAAAAGCGGTGTAAAACCCAACTCGCCCATTCACTTTAACTGGACCATTGCACGAAGCGGCGTAAAAAATACATTTTTATTCACCCACTTTCTATTCTCAGTAGCTTGCGCCAACAGTATCTCTCTATTGACTGTGAAGTTTCTTCAACTAAAGGTCACATTTTAGGTCTTGTCACTTTCTCCTGAAACATTCCAAACGCCGACACGCTTACAGAGACGGCAGATTGGCACATCTACGCCATCTTTACAATCGTGACAGCCACGTTGGTTCCAATACTTGCGTAGCCAGTTTTGGCAGAGCGAGACTATCACAGCGTTAACGTAATTGAGTACTTTACTGAGTGAGTGAGTTGGGTGTTTAACGCCGCTTTTAGCAATATTCCAGCAATATCACGATGGGGGACGACAGAAATGGCCTTCACACATTGTGGGGAACACGGGCCTTCGGCGTGACGAGCGAACACTTTAACCACTAGGCTACCCCACCGCCCCTAGTACTTTACTGACATGTTACGTTTTGGTTTAAAAGCTGAAACTCAAAGGTTAACCGGGAATCCTTACAAGAAGTAAATGGGAAAGCAACAAACAAAGAAATGTGAAGTAATTAACAGGTTTTTAATTTTTTTTTACAAATCAATACAAAGTTATCACTATTTATTTCTATCATAAATTTGTGCCAGTACAAATTCAGAGGCAATATAATACAATAGCAGTGATTATTGCAATGGAGACAATGATGGTGATATTCCCCTCTCAGCACCAGTAATCCAACCTTGAAACTAGTGGTAGGCAGGGTATATTATCATCACACACAAATCAGGAGACATAAGAAGGGATTTGGGTCGAGAGGTATTAGCTTGATCCACTTATATGCACAAAAACTAAATACTTGAAAATCTTTCGCTAACGCAGAACTTTCTACAATATACATTCTGTACACGAAAGGAGAGTTCTAGTACATATCAGCACGCATCTAAATATAGCACACTGAATCTACGGGTGCAATATAAACAAGTGCAACATTGTTGCACAATGTATAACACTGCCTTACGTGTACTCAGAACTTGACATTGTGTAGTCCATTCATGACCAACTCGTGTTATTCCGGGACAAGCCGAATAGCGATCTTCCTGGCATTCGTCACCACTCGCCCCTTTCCGTAACCTGCAAGAAGCTATTCGGCTTGTCCCGGAATAACACAAGTTGGTCACGAATGTCTTCCTGTGTGTTACCATTCGTAACTACTCGTCCCTTTCCGTAAACTGAATTATTTCAGGTTACGGGAAGGGAGAAGTGGCATTGTTACGAATGGGAGGTTACGGAAAGGGAGACTGACTGACTGACTGAGTTTAGTTTTACGCCGCTTTTAGCAATATTCCAGCAATATCACGGCGGAGGACACCAGAAATGGGCTTAACACATTGTGCCCAAGTGGGGAATCGAACCCGGGTCTTCAGCGTGACGAGCCAACGCTTTAACCACTAGGCTACCCCACCGCCCCTACGGAAAGGGAGAAGTGGTGACGAATGATGGACCTATAGCCGAATACACTAACTGTTTACCGAATACATTGGCTGTCTGTTAAACAGTGCGCTTATAACAAAAATAAAATAAACCCTTCATCCTTTTCTATTGTCTATTTAAAAAGACTCAAACAAACGTTAAGTATAACTTAACCCATCGGTGTAATGCGGGATGTTTGAAGTTGAATCTTACTCGACTATGATGATTTTTCATTTTTTGTGTATGAGATAAACCAATATAATTCAGTTTAGTCCATCAATTTGGTTGAACCCACGAGCATTGGTAAGATGCTGACGAAAAACGAATCATAATGGGGGCCAACCCACGAACCCACGATCATTTGATTCTGGTACGTCTAAGGGACGTTACTCTTGTCTGTCACGGCTCATAGTCAAAGAAGATATTATTAGCATCGTGCATACAATCACAATGTTCAACATGTAATCCACCCTCTGTCAAATCAGATCAAGGCGCTGAAATTCCCATACCAGAGTTGCGTCCCTTGGGTACTCAGGAACTGTGATCGTGGGCTGACCATGAATAGGTTTCTAAATTTGTCACAACAGTGCTCATCCGTGAACAACTGGTGTTTTTTTGGGACAAGCTGATTAACGACTCGTGCCCATCTTGTCACCATTTTTTTGCGTCTGTTTTCCGCAAACGGCATAGCTTTTATTAAAATTTGATTAATTGACTACTTCTAAAATGGCTGCCAATGTAGCTGAGGCATAAGGAAACGAGAGTTCAGCGGGATCAATACATGACTTCAACTGATGCAGAACAAGGTTGAACACGGTTAACCGTACCTTGGGTGCAATACAAGACGTACGCACAATCGAAAATGATTCTTAAAGGATTCTTTGACGGTGGCCTACTTTGAATTACTTGAAGTCATTACGTGGATACTGCTGGGTTAGTCGTATTTTCGCACATAACATTTATCGATAGGGGAACGGGTTTTTTACATGTTAAGGGACGAGCGGTGAACTTGACCTTGAGTTTTATTGCAATCGTTAACGTCTAAGACCTATCTTCGGACTTTCCTCCTGCATGAGTGAGTGAGTGGGTTGGGTTTTACGCCGCGTTTAGCAATATTCCAGCAATATCACGGCGGGGGACATCAAAAATGGGCTTCACACGTTGTACCCATATGGGCAATCGAACCACGGTCCTTGGCGTGACGAGCGAACGCTTTAACCACCGCCCTCCTCCTGAAGTTGGCAGGTCATATTACCCAAATAGCATTCAAATCGGCGTTAAACCTCACTCACACCTAGATCTTAATCGTCGAGGGGTTGCCTAGTGGTTAAAGCGTTCGCTCGTTACGCCGAAGGTACAGGTTCGATTCCACACATGGGTTTAACGCGTGAAGCCCATTTCTGGTATACGGACGTGATATTCCTGGAATATTATTAAAAGCAGCGTAAAACTAAACTCACTCTCTCACTCATTCACCCTAATCGTGGTATATATACTTACAGTGCAGACAGACTCTGATATCCTTCGGGTGTGTGCGGGTCGTAACAGTCGTAAAGGTGATATGATATCATGGCTAGACAAATTTCAGATCGCACGGCCTTCAAAGGCAACGAAGCCTCAGCTATAGGAGATCATAAAAACCCACAAAGGTGAACCTTTCTACAAAGTTGACAGTTACATAAAAAGTAAGGGTCGCGATATTCTGCGACTTCCACCCTATCACTGTGACCTTAACCCCATTGAAATGATATGGGGTTTTGTCAAAGGAGATGTTGCCAGATCAAACACAACTTTTAGATTACGTGACGTAGAGGTTTTGGTTAAGGAATCCCTTAACAAAATCACGACTGAAACTTGGCAAAACTGTGTCAACAAGGTAGCTAACGTCATTGAACAAGGTTACTGGTCTCGGGATGGCTTACAACAGGCAACTGTGGCACCACTTGTCATCCGTTTAAGTCGTGACTATGACACTACCACGGACTGGCTGTTCCGTTTCTGCGGTTTCACCCCGCTGCGACAGATAACAACTTTTGCGTTTTCAATGATGATAGTTTCTTAAACAACTTTTTTGATGGAGTCCGGAAAATTTTCAAATATAAGGAAGCTGTTGGGTATTAGTAAATGATAAACATGTGTACTATTTATATTTATGTGGCAATTTTGTACAATGATAAAATTTGCAATTCATCGGTTCGTTTCCGACTCAAACGGACTGTAGAAGCTGAAACTCAAAGGTTAACCGGGAATCCTTACAAGAAGTAAATGTTGAAGCAACAAACAACGAAATGTGAAGTAATTAACAGGTTTGTTTTTAAATTTTACAAATCAATACAAAGGTATCACTATTTATTTCTATCATAAATTTGTGCCAGTACAGATTCAGAGGCAATATAATACAATAGCAGTGATTATTGCAATGGAGACAATGATGGTGATATTTCCCTCTCAGCACCAGTAATCCAGCCTTGAAACTAGTGGTAGGCAGGGTATATTATCATCACACACAAATCAGGCGACATAAGAAGGGATTTGGGTCGAGAGGTATTAGCTAGATCCACTTATATACACAAATTCGAAATACTTGAAAATCTTTCGCTAACGCAGAACTTTCTACAATATACATTCTATACACGAGAGGAGAGTTCGAATACATTTCAGCACGCATCTAATATAGCACACTGAATCTACGGGTGCATATAAACAAGTGCAACATTGTTGCACAATGTATAACACTGCCTCACGTGTAGTGGGGACTTGACATTGTGTAGTCCATTCAACTACACAATGCCTATCATTCGTGACGAACTCGTGTTATTCCGGGACAAGACGAATAGCGATCTTCCTGGGTGTTACCATTCGTAACTACTCGTCCCTTTCCGTAAACTGAATTATTTCAGGTTACGGAAAGGGAGAAGTGGTGACGAATGATGGACCTATAGCCGAATACACTAGCTATTTACCGAATACATTGTCTGTCTGTTAAACAGTGCGCTTATAAAAATAAATAAATAAACCCTTTATCCTTTTCTATTGTCTATTTAAAAAGATTCAAACAAACGTTAAGTATATAACTTAATCCATCGGTGTAATTGCGGGATGTTTGAAGTTGAATCTTACTCGACTATGATGATTTTTCAGTTACATTTTTTGTGTAGGAGATAAACCAATATAATTCAGTTTAGTCCATCAATTTGGTTGAACCCACGAGCATTGGTAAAATGCTGACGAAAAACGAATCATAATGGGGGCCAGAGTGGGTTCGAACCAACGATCATTGGATTCTGGTACTTCTAAGGGACGTTACTCTTGTCTGTCACGGCTTATAGTCAAAGAAGATATTATTAGCATCGTGCATACAATCACAATGTTCAACATGTAATCCACCCTCTGTCAAATCAGATCAAGACGCTGAAATTCCCATACAAGAGCTGCGTCCCTTGGGTACTCAGGAGCTGTGATCGTGGGCTGACCATGAATAGGTTTCTAAATTTGTCACAACAGTGCTCATCCGTGAACAACTGGTGTTATTTTGGGACAAGCTGATTAGCGACTCGTGCCCATCTTGTCACCATTTTTTTGCGTCTGTTTTCCGCAAACGGCATAGCTTTTATTAAAATTTGATTAATTGACTACTTCTAAAATGGCTGCCAATGTAGTTGAGGCATAAGGAAACGAGAGTTCAGCGGGATCAACACATGACTTCAACTGATGCAGAGCAAGGTTGAACATGGTTAACCGTACCTTGGGTACAATACATACGGGTTACCTACAAGACGTACGCACAATCGAAAATGATTCTTAAAGGATTCTTTGACGAAGGCCTACTTTGAATTACTTGAAGTCATTACGTGGATACTGCTGGGTTAGTCGTATTTTCGCACATAACATTTATCGATAGAGGAACGGGTTTTTTACATGTTAAGGGACGAGCGGTGAACTTGACCTTGAGTTTCATTGCAATCGTTAACGTCTAAGACCTATCTTCGGACTTTCCCCCTGCATGAGTGAGTGAGTGGGTTGGGTTTTACGCCGCGTTTAGCAATATTCCAGCAATATCACGGCGGGGGACATCAGAAATGGGCTTCACACGTTGTACCCATATGGGCAATCGAACCACGGTCTTCGGCGTGACGAGCGAACGCTTTAACAACCGCCCCCTCTTGAAGTTGGCAGGTCATATTACCCAAATAGCATTCAAATCGGCGTTAAACCTCACTCACTCCTAGATCTTAATCGTCGAGGGGTTGCCTAGTGGTTAAAGCGTTCGCTCGTTACGCCGAAGGTACAGGTTCGATTCCACACATGGGTTTAACGCGTGAAGCCCACTTCTGGTATACCGACGTGATATTCCTGGAATATTATTAAAAGCAGCGTAATCCTAACTCACTCACTCACTCATTCACCCTAATCGTGGTATATATACTTACAGTGCGGACAGACTCTGATATCCTTCGGATGTGTGCGGGATGTCAGGATCAAGGATACGGACGTGAGTGCCTCTTTGCCACCCCAGATAACTGCGCCACCTACATCAACTGCTCCAAGACTGTGGACGACGACATCTACGACAACATGCCGGCGTATAAAGATGAGTGCGAATACCCGGATTTGTTTAACGGCGCCAGAAAGAGATGTGACGACTTTACAAATGTGAATTGCGGACAAAAGATGGAACCTACGCAACCTTGTAAGTTTTGTGTATGTGCGTGCGTGCGTGTGTGCGTATGTGTGTGAGGCCGAGAAAGAAGACATACTGCTACCCCGTTAATCTTCAATATTTCAAAGTCATCAAATATTCACCTTGCATTTACAAAAACGTGTTTTTAAAAGGTTAATTTGTTTTGTTTAACCCCGGACTCAGCAATATTCAAGCTACATGTATATGGCGGCGGTCTGTAAATAATTTTCTGGACCAGACAATACAGTGGTCAACAGCATGATCATAGGTCTACTCAATTGGGATACGATGACATGCGTCAACCAAGTCAGCGAGCCTGACCACCCGATCCCTTTAGTCACCTCTTACGACAAGCATGGGTTGCTGAAGATCAATTCTGAGTCGGATCTTCCCGGGTTTAGGAGGTCGCAGTCAGTACGGTTTGTCAGTCCAGTCGTGAAGATCCGGATTTGACCTTGTCTCCACAACCCATTCTTGTCGCAATAGGTTCGAACGGGATCGATAGAGTTGGTCTTCAGCAACCCATGCTTGCCGTAAGAGGTGACTATAACGGGATCGCTGGTCAGGCTCGCTGACTTGGTTGACACATGGTGCTCATACTGTTGATCATCCGACAACTGGAATGTTGCTGAGTGCCGCGCTAACCAACAAACAAATAAACAATACCATATGCAATACAGCACGAACAACCGACATTACTCGGTGCTAAATGGGTGCGAACGCCAGTAGCAAGGGAGCTAACTCTCACTCGCTCACCTGCTCACTGTATCTATATTTCAGGCCAATATCAGCGGAACCTGTGTGGGCGAAGTGCCCACTGCAAGCCATGTGCGTATCGTTACGCCAGTTGCGCCGACAAGCCGGACGGTGACCAGCCATGGGAAGGAAGAAGCTGGACCCCGTATTATGCTAGATGCAAGAATCAGAGGACATTGTACTCTGGCACATGCGCCTCCAGTAGATCCGGTCAACCCCGCATCTTCAGCGTACAGACGAACAGATGTGACGATCTGGCCTTAATCCCAAGACAATATGGCGGCCTGTATGAAGGAAAATAAGCAGCTCCACCTAGCGACGAATTCAAGAACTGTGCGATACACCTGAGATCAGTGATTTAGTGATTAACAATAAGGGTCCAGATCCACAAAGCGTTCGTAAAGTTACGAACTGTCGTAACTCTATAGTTTATCATAGGCTTACGAATGTCGTAACGCTACGAACGCTTTGTGGATCCGGATCCTGGTGTATGTTGCAACATGTTATTATTAACCCTCTCTATTACTTATTCTTTAAAGGCACAGTGTCACACCACACTTCTCTTAAAAAAAACCATAATGCATTTCTCTCAATAATACTAACTATCAGTCCTCAGGGAAGCTACCATATAACTTATTAAAAAGAATTACGTGTTTAGATTCCAATATCAAAACGTTTTAATGAATTAATGCAACGTTGTGGATGGTGTACATGTATATGTAAGCGGCGTAAAATCACACTCACTCACTGTAAGAGTTTTGGTTATAGTTCAACTACCTTGTTTACAGGTTAATGATTTAAATAATACATGCACGTGTGGCGATGTTAATGCAATAATAATCTGAAGTTATGATGGTGATTTAATCTGCATAATTGTTACAGAAAACGTACTTTGCCACAGGCATAAAACAACCTTGCATGCGCATGCGCAGGCTATACCCCAGACCGACGGCCTGATTTGCACGAGCTCTTCATTCTACTTGTGCCCTACCAATCTGCCGCTGGTTGCGTTTCGAGGTTCCATATGTAATGTGGCATAATACATCACGTTCTTGTGAATAACCTGCATAATATACTAAATGTGTAAATATACTTGGAGTTTATAGTACACGAAGTACTAACACAAAATGTTTTGATATAGAGTTGAATTCCAACAATGCCCTTTACGATAGTTTCCATAGTTCTTTTCTGATGATGCTTTACGCAATGAAAAGAAACATGCACCAAAATTTAGTTTTCGTAAAACAAAAATTCACTTTTTTGTCACGATATCTGATACTTTTGTCACGATATTTGATTGCTTTAGTCACCTTTGTCACGATATTTGATACTTTTGTCACGATATTTGATACTTTGGTCACGATATTTGATACTTTGGTCACGATATTTGATGTATTCGTTTTGCCTGGCTGAAATAAAACGGAGGGATTCATCACGTCTAGTTTGAATTAGGTCCATTGCTTTTTGTTTTGTTGCTTACCAAACTCAGCAACATTCCAGCTATATGGCGGCGGTCTGTAAATAATCGAGTCTGGACCAGACAATCCGGTGACCAACAACATGAGCATCGATCTACGCAAATGGGATACGATGACATGTGTCAACCAAGTCAGTGAGCATGACCACCTGATCCCGTTAGTCACCTCTTGCCACAAGCATGGGTTGCTGAAGACCAATTCTACCCCGGGTGGGTCCACTGCTCGAAGCTGCTGTTAATTTGCAACGACAGTATCAGGCGTTTGGCCCGTTTTGGAAGGGGTATTGGTGCGGTAGGGCAGCCCAGTGGTTAAAGGGGGTTCGATCCGGGTTTTTTTAATACTGTCCCTCAAATTCCACCATGATATATCTGGAAAAATGGTAAATGTGGCACTTAACCCAACTGGTTGTCTTACCTCTTGGGGTATTACTATGTTGTCAAATCTGGGATTCAAACATCACGCATCCTGGCACCTAAGGGACATAACTCTAGGGAATCAACAGCCTAAGCGACGCAACTTTTCACGATTTGATGATGTCTTAATTATGTTTAGCCATTACGTTCAGTTTGCTTAACGTTGACCTCCGTGGTCTAGTGTATAGAACGTCAGCCCGAAGAGCTCAAAGTCGTGGTTCAATCCTTTGCTCATATTTACCCCTACAGATTGCGTTTATTTATCATTACTTTTTCTCATTTGGAAGAAACATAAAAATAAATCTAACACATGTTAGCCGCGATTTTGTGTGCTGGCGATTAGGTGCCTGACTCTGAGTGTGTGGGTTCGAATCCCGGATGGGACTCAACCTTACAAAAGTACTAGAATCTGTACTTTACTGACAAGGTGTAATCCCAAATCTAACGAATGCTACATTTGACCACTTTCTAAACGCTATTGTGCATTCAAAAAAATATGTGAAAATCGGTTGGAATGTTCTAGAATACTTTAACGCTGAAGTTAGCTTTTGGCCATATTACAAAAACACCACCACCACCACCACCACCACCAACAACAACAACAAAACAAACAAACCCAAACGGGGTTCGCTAACGCTGATCATGAGACATTACATCACATATATTTCACACTCACCTGCGACACATACATCCCTGAGTTCATCATACATTATAGGGGGCGGTGGGGTAGCCTAGTGGTTAAAGCGTCCGCTCGTCACGCTGAAGACCCGGGTTCGATTCCCCACATGGGTACAATGTGTGACGCTTATTTCTGGTGTCTTCCGCCGTGATATTGCTGGAATATTGCTAAAAGCGGCGTAAAACCAAACTCACTCACTCACTCATACATTATAGAATCAAATGACTAATGGTCATTTTCACCAATACAGTGTTTTGATGAAATCAAACGAAGTGAAATTGGTGTGAAAACAAACGCCGTGCTCGGAGCACTGCACACGTTAGAACTGTAAACAAAGACTGCAACATTCATCAACATTTTCACCTATTTTGAGAGATCAATACGTCTATTCGTTGCATACCTGATCTCAATATTTTGAAAACATGCATGGAAAGAGTGTCGTAGCAAGAATAAGGGATAATGAAAATATATACATTACAATGATTCGGTAATTTTTGAGAATTATTGTGAAAGTTTCCGTCCTGTATGACGCCATGAAAAACGCAAAATCTCGCACAACGACCACGGTATTTATCACACATAATAATACATAGATGGCAACATGTTTCTTCCTACATCCGTGAAGATATCAAATATACATCGTCGGTCACTACTACAACAGCTGTACGCTAAAAGCAAAATATAATTTTGCACTTAGTTGTGTTTTTTTACAAAACACCTCATTATTTATACTTGAATTTACATCACCAGACAGGAAATGTATTATTCCACATTGCTGTGTAAGTATATATCTGTTGGTAGATCCAGTGTCCGGGAGGACAAATTCTCGCACAACGTTCATTTTTTAGAGATTAAGAGAAACCCAACTTATTACTCACCCGTTGAAGATATCACTGTTTAATAATTTTACTATGTTATTACACATTGTGTAATAACATCGCGTGATGCCGTACGTATGACGTCAAAGTGGTTTACAGTTATGACGTCACAATGCTAATAACTCTGTCACAATAGTATTAGACCTTGCTTGACTCGCGGAAAGCTGAGAATCATCACACTTTGCTCGATGTTATTTTGCTAATGTTGGGTGAGTAATACATAAAATACTAAAGTATGTCCCTTGTAATACCATATTTATGAAACTCGTGGATGGTATTAGTATCCAACTCGCTTTCGCTCGTTAGATACCAAACCATTCACTCGTTTCATACATATGGTATTACACGGGACATCGTTTAGTATTCTCTATATCTACATTATCTGCGACCGCCTCAGTGGTGTTGTGGTTAGAGCGTCCGTCCGGAAAGCGGAAGGTCGCGGGTTCGATCCCCGACCGCGTCACATACCAAAAGACGTTAAAATATGGTACTTGTTGGTCTCTGCCTGGCGCTCGGCATTAATGGGTACAACAAGGACTGGTCGGCTCGGAGTCAGTATACTGTGTCTGAGTGGGGTATTCATGCTTCACTGTGGCATGGTATCTCAGTGGGCTAGCACTATGAAACTTGCTTCAGTCTGGGCTAGTACAAGCAGCCGCACATACACATACACACGCATGCACGTCGTCATATGAGCAAAATATTCTCAAGCACGACGATAAACCCAATTTCAGCTCAGCTCAGCTCACCACCTACATTATCTGTGACGTCATGTCACTCTGATGTCACTATATTGTGACGTCACGTTATTGTTGCCGATAAGCGCATGGAAACAGGCCGCAGCATCTACAGCGTCGAAGATTATCTTCTAAAATGGGCTGCAAACAAACTAAGGTTATACCTTTCATGCAGACATCTCCAGAGGAGGCTCTGACGGGCAAGATCAACTGTCCTCACGAGCTGTACTACGCCTTAGTGTCAGGTGACACGGCCCACACCCCGCCTGTCAGGGGCGGAGATTCTTCAACAGCTACGAGATGAGGGTTTGGTCCCCGACCGTCAGTCCAGCGGAGGAGTGGCCTTCTCTGTCCCCGCCGTGGAGGGGGTTGTTCCCCGTGGCAAAGCTCCCCGACGTCTGGAGCAAATCCCAGTGCGATGCTTCTACACAGCTGAGAGGAGGAGACAGAAGGCTGACGAATTCAGATTTAACAAGTATGTGAGTGAGAAAGTTTTAGTTTTACGCCGCATTTAGCAATATTCAAACAAAATCACGGCGGGGACACCAGAAATGAGAATGATTTAACAAGTATGTCCATACCTTAGATGTAATCAGTGTTGGTGAAAGTCGTATTAAATATCGTGATCTATGCTCTGAAAGAGAGACTGCATGAAGTTAAACGTTGCATGAATATAGTTTCATCAACGCTGAGAATGACATATGTATCAGTCAGATTTGATTGACACGTTCCCATTCCAAACATACATGCATATTGCAGGCTAGTTGATCAAGTACAGAGGAAACAACTGGACAGGGAAATCAAGCACAAAGCTGTCAAGGACGAGAAGAAACGTCGCCAGTTCCTCAAGAAAATGAGGGCAGAACATCAGCTCCAGATGAGGGAGGAGAAACTAAAGAAGCTGGAGGAAGAGCGGGCGGAGAAGAAGAAGAAGACGTCATTCAAGAATTAGATGAAAATGCGTATGGATGGGGTTAGGGTGATGTCGAGGGTCGGGGTTGGGGATAGGCGGGGCGGCCTCTAAAATAATTATTCATACCCCAAAATGATTTTTAAAAATGTGTACATGGTATAAAGATGTATAACATAACATAGTAATCAAAACGTTTTAAAGCTTGTTGTTGATAGGCCAGTTGGTCGTAACAAATAACTATGAATTATCGCAAAAACTTTCAAAAATATGTACAGGCGCTGTTAGTGCTAAAGAGATATATAACATTTAAGCGATATGTATAAACATAACTTTTTAGAGATCGTTTATGATAGGACCTTGGGTGAGGATCGGCCATTAACAATCTGTTGTCACTTTTGCTTTAATCAATGCATCACTGTTCATATGAAGTATTTCGTACAGTGTCTAATATCTTTCCCAAAGAGGGTTATGTACCTTGTTACTGAAACATGTAAATCATCAAGACTGTATTTTATATTGTGAATAAAATATTCAACTAAACACTCAATTTGTTTCGCAGTATGTCATTATGCAATTGCATATTTCTGTGGCGAAAAAAGGGAAAATGTTCCACCCTTTGATTTTGTGAGTCAGTGGAATAAGTAGGAGCAATATTCCGGCATTATCTCGGGCGAGATACCATAAATGGGCTTCACACTTTGTACCCATGTTGGGAATCGAACTTCTGTCTTCGGCGTGAATTGATCACCACCCTTTATGAGATATAAACCTCATTTTAAATGAATTCATACGAAGGGGTCTCAGTAGCCACCCTGTACCGAATCTATGTTCGAAATATACTGAATTCTGTTCAGATAACATATGCATCTATTCCATATACACGGGCTGTTGGTTAGCCTGATAGTTAATGTGTTCGTTAGCTAACCAGTTTTATTCCCTCACATTACATACCCATGAAGATCCGGGTTAGAATTGGTTGTCAGCACCCCATGCTTGTCGTAAGAGGCGACTAATGGGATCGGGTGGTCAGGCCCGCTGACTTGGTTGACACATGTCGTCGTATCCCAATTGAGTAGATCGATGCTCATGCTGTTGATCACTGGGTTGTCTGGTCTAGGTTCGATTATTTACAGACCGCCGCTATATGGCTGGAATATTGCTGAGTGTGGCGTTAAACAGCAACCAAACCAACCAACCAACCCTCACATTACAACATCACGTACAATTTCTGTTGTGACAACATTTTTAAGCCGTGATTTTTTATCAAATTGTTTCACTAATACTGACAGCAAAGGTTGGCGCGATAAACGAACAAGCTGGAGGCCATTAGATACGCCGTGACACTAGGAGTGTACTTTCTTCTCTACGTCAGTATAGCACAGCTGTCAGAATTTAATTGAATAATAATACATGGAAGATTAAAAATGCACTTGTTCACGGGGCATTCACTGACTTACACTTTCTTCACATATCCCTCTGGCCGACCGAACAGGTGAGGAGACAGGTGGTGACCTCAGTGTAGGTACGGCGGCGTGTACACGGGAGACGTGATCACGGTGACAGATGACGTCGTCCCGGCACGACCTCACTTGAGCGGCACTGACAGCACAGAACTGCATCTGAATCATCCTTGATGACAACACTTGTGATTGTGATTGATCGAAACTCGTATTCCAGAAATGCTTGTTTTTTTAGCAGTGACCTGGAACGTGGTTTTCCGTCCTTTCAAGCATTATTGCACTGGTTTTTTTATATGTAACCACTGTGTGTGGCGGGCGCGCGTGTGTTTAGTGTGTTCCGTGTGTAATGTGCCTTTGTGACGTGTGTGAGAGTGAACATGTTGACAATATTGATGATGGTGTTAGCAATGTGAAGTTTGATGACCTTAGTGATAATGTTTCACCAAAGTTAAGAAATTCTGATGTGTTAGCTCACCTTTACATTATCACATTTGTCCCCTGAGCAGAAAACTCAAATGTCAGATTTGATTCATGAGTTCTCTCACCTTTTCCTGATGTGCCCGGACGAACTGATGTTATAGATGTAGATGTAGGTGATGCTGTGCCTGTAAAACAACATCCGTATCGGATGAATCCTGTGAAAAGTGAAATTCTGCCTAAAGAAGTGAAATAGTTGTTGGACAATGACATTATTGAACCCAGTGATAGTCCGTGGAGTTCACCATGTCTTCTTGTGCCGAAAGAGTGGTGGAGGAGATTGGAGCTGCTGTGCTGACATGAAAGCTGTCAATGCGCTCTCACGAAGTGATTCTTATCCAATCCCGAGGGTGGACAATTGCATTGATCGCATTGGTCAAGCTCAGTACATAAGTAAGTTTGACTTATTGAAGCACTTCTGGCAGGTTCCACTCACAGACGGTGCAAAGTAAATATCGGCATTCGCTACACCAGATGGACTGTATCAATACAAAGTGATGCCGTTTGGTCTGAAGTACGCACCAGCGACGTTCCAGAGACTCGTCAACAATGTCGCATCTGGTCTTGATGGTGTCGAAGCTTACATGGGTGATGTCATCCATTATGACATGGAGTGAGAAGACCATCTAATATGTAACAGATGAGTGCTATGGGGATGTGTTATTGTTAATTAGAATGTCACATTAATTAACTTTTAGTTATTATGGGTCACAAAAATTTGGAGTGTGGATTTGAACTCACACCTTGAACTATGTATTTTCACCTGTTGAGAGTGGGCTTGGGAGTTACCTGCCCTCTGTTTGCTTTGCTTCAGGTCAGATTGTTGAAGCTGAGAAGCTGTGAGTAAGTTCTACATGATTCTAGCGTGGCGTAGCTTCTGCTAGAAAAATCTAGCATTGTATAATAGGTATACTATTCACACTTTGGTAAGGATCGGATCATTGATTCAACAGAAAACTGTGATGTGGGGTCTAATTTGGTTTAAATATCTAAGCTTATTGTAAGCATCGATCCTAGGTTTCAGTATGTCACTGCATCTTGTGGATCCCATACCTGCTATTGACAGGTGTTGTGTACTTGTCAATGACTCGTTCCATGATTTGCAAAATGGTTGATTGGTGCCATGAAAACCATTTGTATGGTTACTCATGTATCAAGTGCATAAGGTTAGATTAAAGTGGATGTTTCCCTAAACAAGGCTTACCATATTATTATTTATCCAGTTTTAAATGGATACAATTTCAAATTATAAAACTATGTTTAAGTAAAGTTGGGAATATTTGTGATCCTTAGCAAAGTGTGAGTAGTATATATAAGGGATGGTTGTTGAGATGTAGGAGAGGACTACTACTGCTTTGGATTTTAAGCTATCTGCCTGCTAACATCGACGTTTCAAGACTCAAGAGACCTACCACTCATCTACATTGAGCTTTCGCAGCTGTCAACAATCTTCAATCAGTATATCTGTTTTTTTACCGAGAATATAAAAACTTTGTTTAGTTGATATTTTAGATTTGTGACCCAATATTTTAGATTTGTGACTCAATTGTATTGTATTGTATTGTACTGTCATTCATTGTAACCTTGGTTATTGTTTATTCAATATATTATTGAATATCATAAACTTGTCTGCTCTATTTTTGCTGGTTTAAAGGTCACTCACCAGCCTTTTTTCTCAGTAATTTCTAAACCGAAACGCTTGTAGTAAAAGGCAATTAAAAGGATCGGGTTGTCATCTCGCTGACCTGGTTGATGTATGCCATCGTCTCCCAGTTGAGCGATGCTCATGATTTTAATCGCTTGAATGTGTGTTCCTGACTTGATTATCTACAGACCGTCGTGATATGTCAGGAATACTGTTCAGTGCGGTGTTAAGCAACAAACAAACAAACAAACAAACACGTAAACAGATAGCAAGTAAACTATACTTTCACATGAGGATTACTCACATGTAGCAGTCTACAAATGAGGGCGACGTTACTTTGTCCTCAAATGTCACGCAACCAGGAAGTTTCTAAGATATTCAAACCTTGCTGACCCTCACGAATAAATGATCTGCAAATTTCAACTACCGTTAATGTAACGGTAAACGTATGAATTCTCTCGAGGCTTAATTGCCTGTTTATATTCTTTTCGTTTGCTTAGTATACTGCGATGAAATGACAATAGTGTGCAGCATATCTGTAATGAAGAGTGAGTGAGTGAGTGAGTGACCGGGCCTTCAGCGTGACGAGCCGACGATTTAACCACTAGGCTAAGTATACTGCGATGAAATGACAAATGACAATAGTGTGCAGCATATCTGTAATGAAGAGTGAGAGAGTGAGTGACCGGGCCTTCAGCGTGACGAGCCGACGATTTAACCAATAGGCTACCCCACCACCTTATTCCTGTAGCATCACGGCGGGGGGCACCAGAAATGAGCTTAACACATTGTATCAGTTGCTTGAATCGAACCCGGGTCATCGGGCGTGACGAGCGAACACTTTAATCACTGGGCTACCCAACCGCCCCTTGTAATGAAGAGGTTCGCTGACTTGGTTGACACATGTCACCGTATCCCGGCTTCGTAGGTCGTGGCAAACAACAAACATAAACACACTGGCCGACTAGGAGCCGCTCTCACGCCTACAATGCACAGAAGCGACGCCGCACAGACGGAAGACCTGTACAGCACGTGTCTTTGTAAGATGTACCACAGGAGAGATGCTTGATACGATTGTCAGAACACAGTTCCTAGCCACTGATGATGGTGATATTGATAAGATCCTTGTCTTCTCGACACTAGATTGGTTGGTTGGTTTGTCGTTTAACGCCACACCCTGCAATATTCCGGCTTTATGGGGGCGGTCTGTAAATAATCGAGTGACGACAATCCCGTGATTAACAGCAAGAGCATCAGTCTACACAATCTGGATACGATGACATGTGTCAACCAAGTAAGCGAACCTGACCACTGCACCCGATCCCGTTAGTCGCCTCTTATGACAAGCATGGGTTACTGAAGACCAATTCTAACCCGGATCTTCACGGGTTCGACACTAGAGATCCTTGAAATGATGCAAGAAATAACCCCCAAAAACAACAACAACAACAACAACA